GACTCCTAAATGCGCTCGCTGAATACTCATGCAAACACCAGGGCACAGAGGTCTAGGAAAACAAGATCAGCTAGCAAGTACTTCAGAGCCCTTTTTCAGGCCAGAGTTCCCCTAACAGAGAATGGTTCTCTCTTAAGGAACTAGGCAAAAGGATCAGAAAACTGCACTAACCATTTCGCAGAAATTGCTCTAGCCCAAGCCTCCTGTGACCCGCCCCCCACATGATATTGTGAACCTGGGCATGGGGTGCCTGCAGCCGCCTGAGCTGCAAGACCCTGGTAGGCCAATGAGCAGGAGCTGCACTACCCGAAACCAGGCACCCAAGTAGGGGGGCACCACCAGCAGCATGTCCTCACACACCTGCTGAACCACATTACCAGAGAAGGGCGCCATGCAGCCAAGCTTGGGGAGCGAGCCCTTTACAGGCACACATGCTTTTGTCAGGCCTACCAGAACCACTTCTGAACGGAACACTGCACCGCACAGAACTGCATCAGGCAGGGCAAATAAACACCCTCCTTCAGATGTGGGGTCTGGGGTGGACAGAGGTCGTGAGAAAACACTGGACACCACCTGGTGGGAAAGGTGAATGTGGTGGGATGTGAGGCTGGGGGCGGTAAGAGGAAGTTTCCCTGCCAGGTGACCAGAGGCCTGGGGGTATCAGGGGAGGAAGAGGGCAAGCAACCACCTGGAGAATCACTCACCACCACTCCGGGGAAGCCATCTCTCTGCCATCACACAGCTGGAGCTGCACCAGAGGGTCCCACCACCCTCCCTGCGGGTCACCGCCAGGTCAGCCGAGGGAGTAGACACACTGCCTTGAGGCAGGAGAGCAAACAGGTCACAGGGAGGGGAAGGACCAGGCCCAGTCGGAGCAGGCCCAGCCTGGGTAAAACCCTGGGAGCAGGGGAGAGAGACCCAACCAGATGAGGGTCCAGTAGCTGGGGACATGTAAAGAAGTTGGCAAGAGGGTCAGGGATCTGCAGGGAAGGATGGCAAGGCTGAGATCTGGTCAGAGGAGGGACCAGCATGGGCCAGGAGATGGGTCAGCAAAGGAGGGGCCGCCCTGGTGAGGGCCCAACAACAGATCAGTAGACAAGGGATGCAATGGAGGAAGGGCCAGCCAGGGACAGGAAGTAGGGAGGAGAGGGGGGAGGCTGTGATGGGCAGGGGAGGGGAACCCTGCAGGAGGAGGGCAAGGGTGGGCCCCACTGGAAGGGGCATGCTGGAAAAAGGGCCAAGCCCATAAAGAGGCAGGCTAGGGAGCAGGGTAGCAGGGGGCCAAGTGGTGGGGTGGGGTGCTGGATTTCCTGATGGCCTGGGATGTTTGCCTGGAAGGTACTCAATGGGTGTGGGTAGTTAGCACTTTGCACCATTTGGGCAAAGCCGTGGCTAACGCATGTCTGGCTGTGGTCTCTGCTGGGAAGCTCCAGGTCAGCACCAAGATTCTTTGTGTGGCTGTAGGGCCTGGCTGCCAGTGACTCCAGGTCCCTGCCAGAGCTCAGAAAGCAGGGTGTGGGCAGGAGGGAGGGCAGAAAAAGGGGATATTCCAGCCAGTGCCCACTTTCCTGACAGCCACAATTCCTCTTATCCTGTCTGTGCCAGAGTCCTGATGTCACATATAGTGATGGGCAACTAAACTGAAGACAGACATTCTGCACGCTGCCTTGAAGCCCAGCTACCCACCCCCACCCAAGCAAAAGCAGGAATCTTGACCCACACCATTCAAGAAGCAGGAAAGAGGCACCTGAAGCTGTGAGGATCTGCACAGGAGGAAGCGAGAGGCTGCCTCGTGCTCAGGAAAGGCTGACGGCTCAGGAAAGGCTGACGGCCCAGGCACATGCACAGGCAGAGCTGTGCAGAGGCCCCTGTGGGTGGTCTCTAAGCCAATGGCCAAGATGCCCAGGTGACCCTGCTCCAAGATATCCCTCCTCCTCCACCATCACTCCCCTGTATGACACTGCCATCCTATGCACACCCTAACACCCTGACTAGACCTCCTGCCCTCCCCCTGCTCCTCTAGGGCCTGAGCAGGTAGGTCACTGTGCCCCTCGGGGCTGTGGGCCCTGGTAAGAGCCATCAGACATGTCACCAGGTCACATCTCTCCCTTTCCCCCATCCCTTTGCTTCCTGAGCCTCAGGTTGCTGCAAACCAGCCCCCAACAAACCCACCGATCCACACACACACCCCTTCAGCCACACCCGGCTGGGCCTTCCCACCACCACTGCTGTCTTTAGCAGCACTTGGGTGTTCCTGAACATGATGCCTCCAGTCGTGACACATGGCTCAGATAAATAAAAAGGAATTCCTGTCTCCAGCTTAGGTACAAGCAGTGGGACTATGCACGGGGCTGGGATAGAAGGGAACCTGCTCTGGCCAATATTTCTGTGGTTCCTCCTCCATGGCAGGCCGTGGGAATAGGCTTGATGCCCAAAAATCTGTCTGCCCTGCAGGAGAGCAGCAGTAGATACACCTTTTCAGGAAGGGGCAGAACACTAGCCCCGCAAAGTTCAACGGCACACCAGCCAGCCTCAGAGCCAGCCTGGGTTCTACAGAGCCCCAAGCTTACTCATGGCACCGCAGAACCCTGTACACCAGGACAGTACAAGCTTGCTGCAGGATCTCCAGGGGCCTCCCGACAAAGGGGCAGAGGCTCTGGGAACCCGCCGCTGAGCCCTACCCAGTCTCAGTGCCCGGAGCACACATTCTCCAGAGGGCACATGGCACACTGCACTCAGCAATGGGGGGTTGGCTTCTTCTGGGCATCCACCCAGTGCCCTGCATGGCTTCTGCATGTCCCAGATTCAATCCTGAGGAAGCGGCACCGCGGGCAGGTGACTACACCACAGGATGGCTTTGCAAATCTTCACCAAGTTGCAGAGCTCATTAAGGACAGATTTCACAGAGTCCCAGAATTTTCTAATTGGGAGGGAGAATCCCTGGAGCATCATTGAGTCCCTTACCATATGTTTCTCTGCACCTCGCAATATCTATTTGTCAACACCACCACCACCTGTATGTACACAAGGATTTGAACAGGAACAGCCTCCAGGAGCCAAAATGATTATAAGTAGCAGATTTCAAAATATGTGCTTTTCCAATATGAATAACTTGCCTGTACCACAGCCCTATGGGAGTGTGTGTATATGTGTGTGTGTGTGTAAAATGCCATTATATGTATAAATGTATATGTGCATGCTGAGCATGTATAAATGCCGTTGGGGGGGGGGGTTTGGGGGGGTAGAGTGAGGTCTAGAGAGGGAAGGTCTGTGTAGCCCAGGGAGACACAGCTCATAGCGGTAAACCCCAGATGTCTGCTCTGTCAGAATCTGTGCTCTGGATACCATAACAGATTCTTCTCTTTCAATCTTTTAATTCTCTAAATCGAATGACTATAGAAAAAAATTATTTAAAAGAAGACAACGGTGCAGTTTTTCACAGAACCAGCTGAGCACCTGGCGTACAGACCTCAGCATGGCCCCAGTCTCTGGCCTGTCCAGGCGAACTTGGCTTCCCTGGTCTCTGTGCTGACCTGGCTTCTGGGGTCCCTTCTAGTCCCAGTGAGGGTTGTTCCACTTGGGCTGGGCCCAGCTGTGGAGGCTAAGCACTAGATAGGAGAGGTGTAGGGGAGTGCCCCTCAGGTCAAGCAAGACCTCCTGCTGCCCCAAGAAGAGAGCTGTGGCCCCTCCCTCCACCCCCTCCCATCCCCTCCCTGAGGCTTACAGCCCTTGGCCCTTCTCCCTTCTTCTCAGTCCTTATCTCTGCCTCCTTTCTGTCTCTGGCCTTCACTCTATTCTTCTCTCTCTTCCCTTCACAGCCTGGCCCCCTCCCTGCCAGGTATTTCCCTCCAAGATTCTCCTCCTGTCCCCTTCCCAGTCCCAGCACATGCTGACTGTCTCTCTCTCACTCTCTGGGCCCTAAAATGCAGGTCGAGTCACGGCCTTTCTGTGTGCCCCACAGCCCCGTGACCATGTGCTGTCCTGGGCATCAGCACCTAAGGACACGCCCCTTGGTCCTGGAGTGGTGGTTCCTTGGTCACCACAGGCCCCAGAAATCTGACTCCTAACACGGCGCTCACACACACACACACACACACACACAGTGTTCTTAACAAAGCTCACACTACACCTCCTTTTCTCCATTTGCCCCTTCTCTCCCTAGACGGACTCCCCCACCCCATCTGATTTCCACCACCCTCAGGAAGGAACACAACCTTTAAGGGCCTTCCAAGCTAGGGTGACATGCACGGAGTAATAAAGCTCAAAGAGCCCCACTTGGCAAAGACATCTGCATGCCGCCTCTGGGGTCCTGGGGCTGGGAGGAGCCTGGCCACCCTCTGGCCTGCCCTGGGAAGACAGTGACAAAGTTCAGGCACTGCAAGTCACCAGGGACCCAGGTCACACAGGAGTGGGGTGGCAGGGTCCAGACCCTGTGTGACCTTGGCAAACTCTGATCTTCTTGACCATAGATGGTCCACAATGGGGCGCCAAAGCAACCAGAGGAGGCAAAATCCCTTCCCTGTCCCTACATCTCCTTCATCTACAGGGATGGGAAGGTGACTCTACAAGCCCCTTGGTACTCTGGGCACATTGGAAAAAAAAAGAAGCAGGAACCCTCAACCTGCCCACTTTCTGTCTGTCCTGCAGGGATGGGTACAGCCAAAGAACAGTGGACTAAGGCTGCAGTCCTGTCGGACTAACCGCCAGCTACCTGACCTTGGGTCAGTCCTGGCCCTCTCTAGGGCCAGTGTCCCCTCTCCATGCGCCACACTCAGAGGTGCTGTTGTGGACTGGAACTCGGTGGAGATCCCATCCCAGGATGCCAGCCCTCACTGCCTCCCCAGGTCTCTTGAGTGACCTTGAACACACAAACACCCCCATTCAGAACCTCAGTTTTCCTCACCAGCCCAGTGGTGGATGCACACCCAGTTCCCAATCTTCCCACTCCTTCCGAAGCAGGTTAGTTCCAGACGAGATCAGGGGTTCTAGGCAGCACTTACCGTCCTCCAGTGACGTGGGCGCTTGGTGGGGACCAGGATGGCCGTGACCAGCAAGTGTGAGGCAGCCACCACGAGACCGAAGCTGATGGCCAACACGCTGCGCACGGGCAGCAGAGCATAGGACACGAAGGTGACCAAAAGGAGCTGCCAAACGCCTTGCTCCGTGGCCACGGGCACCGCAGCCGCCCCAGCAAGAGTCCCGGCGGGGCCACCTAGCGCGAAGGGGCAGCAGAGCAGTGCGAAGGTGAGGCTGAAAAGCAGGGCGAGCTGGCCGACCTGCTGCAGCTGGGGCACCTGCAGGGAGCGGACATTGGTGACCACGAGGAGCGCCAGGAAAAGGATGCAGTGCACGGGGTGCGAGCCTTTGGCCAGGCCAGGCGCGGGCCCGGGCGCGCCCAGAAGCTCGGCCAGCGCCAGTGTGCCCGCCAGGAGACTGAGCACGACCAGTGCCTTCAGCGTGGCCGCCTGCTCCAGCCGCAGCGTGTAGCCGCGGAACAGCGCCTCCAGCTCCGGGCAAGCGAACTCCGCGTCGCACGCTCGGAGCTCCTGCCGGCCGCCCGACCCTGCCGCCCGCTCAGCGC